GAGCCCGAACCATCGCCATATGGGCCTGCCGTTTCATATTTGTAATCCAGAGGGGGGTATTTCGAATCTGTAGCTGTCGTCACTTTTGGGATCATGAAATATGAGTCTGGAGGGAATATCGTGCGGGAGCCTCGTCACCGAGTATAAACTGCGATGCGAGAAAAACTCGAACGGCAACCTCTCCCAATAGGGGTCCCCGGTGCACGCTTTCAACCAAAATTTGTATATGGTAAAGTGTAGCATTTGTCACTCCTGTGCTCCTAAGTTGTGAACCTGGAGAATCTCTAACGGGAGCTTCGTCTGCGAGTAGAATTGAGAGGACATCTCAAGCGGGACCCCTCTCCCTACGCCACCCCACTTTACTTCGTGTTGATTGATCCGAGTGGGGTACTGAAACCTGTAACTGAAGTAAAGGGTGAGCTCCTGAGGTATGGATATGGAAGATGTCTCGAACGAGAGCCTCGTCTTTGAATGAATTGAGAGGTCTTCAGCGGAAGACCCTCCCTGAAGGGAGCCCACCTCATGTTCCTGAACCGACGGGGCCATAGGAACACTGTAGGAGTCGACACTAAGGAGCTCTCGACGCATTCGTGGAGGGGAAGTCTCGCAGCCGGAGGAGGAGGAGGAGGAAGATGAAGAGGATGAAGAGGAGAAGGAGGAGCCTGGGCGAGGAAAAAAGCGAATGTAGGAAGAAGAGGAAGACGAGGACACTAAGGTGAGGAGGAGGAGACGGAAACGAAAGGGCCGCGGAGAAGTCGGAGGCTGAAGATAAGGAGGGAGGCGGAGGCGACCGGAAAAGGATCATGACAACGACAGCGACCAGGAAGTCGAGAAATTTTAGCGGCGACGTGCTCGTGCTGGTTGAGGCGGCGACGACGCAACGGAACCTAGACTAGCGTAACCCTGGAGGAAAAATAGGAGGAGGGGGAGGAATAAAAGGATAAATAGGGCCCCAACAATCACACGGAAGACGATGATTACTTCCAGTGCGGGGTCCGACCGCGGGGTAGCGACTGGTCCAGAAGGAAACATCGAAGACGAAAGGATCACCAAACGCCCCGCTGTGACTGCAACGGAATATGTTCTCGGGTTCCCAGGAAGCCCAGGGCTGAGCTGGCAACCGCGGACCACGCCAAAGTGGGGCGGGGCGGGCAAGGAGAGGGCCGTGAGGGCCTGAAGCCTGGGCGTACGGCCTGTGAGAACGTTCATCCCCTCATCATCTTCCTCATCCGCCTCTGCCTCCTCCTCATCCTTCTCGTGCTCCTTCTCCCGCCAATGATCCTGACCCTCGCACGTCTCCAGGCGTCCACAAACGTCCTTGGAAGTCCCCCGGATGCCCAAGGGCCAAAGCCGCTCGAAAACTTTCAAGGAACATGCGCAAGCCTCCCTCCTCGATGCTCGAGCGTCGAGGGCAAACTGTAGCACCTCCTCCTGCTGCTGGTCCTCCTTCGGGGGCGTCCAAAGATCGTCCAGCAGGAGGCGTCGCACATCGTGGTCCGAGGCATGTGCGCGAACAACGAGAGGGGGGGGGACAGGGGACGCGCTGGAATAGCAAGAGGGACCATGAACTCCATGGAGGAACCATGACCCCCTGAACATGATCCCCCCTCCCGCCATCATCCCCTCTTGGCCGCCCCCGACTACAGCTCCTCCTCCCCCTCCTCCCTCGGCTACGCGCAAGGGTGGTCCCAGGCAAGAGTGGCCTTTCGCGCGCGGCATGGGGGGCCCGACACGGGACCAAATCCTAGCGCGAAGACCCGTGCTGGGGGGATCTCCGTGGGCCCGCACTCTCACGCGCAAGGCCTCTCTTGCGCGTAGCCGACTCCTCCTCCTCGCGCACCGCGGCCTGGCCTCCGAGCCCGCCGGTCACCATCGCCATGGCCGCGGCGGCCCCGCTCCGGGGAGGAGACGGTCTGGAGGAGGAGCACGCGCCATAAACACACACCTGTGGCGCTCCGTGCGGAGTTCTTGGATCTGCACTGGACCCCTCCCTGGCGCGAGGAGCGCGCCAGGGGCAGCGCCGGAGGCCCAGCGCGGATCCAAGGAATCCGCGCGGAGCGCCAAACATTTGTGTTCATGGCGCTTGTTCTGCTTCGACGCTCGGGCAACGCGCCGGGCACCCCTGGCCGAAGCAGCGCTCGGCTGGAAGCCTTCGGCCGAAACTGCATAACGACAACGATCACTGTAGACTCTTGTCGCCGTCGTCGTTATCGTTGTCGTTGTGATTGTTGCGATCGTTGTCGTCGTTGTGATTGTTGGATGGGTCCAGGAGTGGGGACAAGAGCCGGCGGCGCGCCCAGAGGGGGAAGGCAAGGGGGCGGGCGGGCCTTCGCGGAAGGCTCTCAGAAGACCTCCTCTTGGCCGTGCGAGAAGCTCCCCGAGCTGGCTCCGCAGCCCCGCCGTCTGCTGGGGGCGGCTTGCCCCTCTCGCTTCCCCTCCTCGGCGCGCCGCCGATGCAGTCAACCCGTCTCGCAAGGATGCGCGATCAGGATGCAAGGGCCTTGGAAGGCCATCTCGAAGCTTCCCGAGCGGGGAAGCGGCCAGCGAAATGGCCAAGGATGGACCGAGGAGGGAAGGATGCGAGGGTACCCTTGGAAAGGTTGCCCATCCGTACCGTGCGGGTCGACTGTATGAGCAGCTCTCGAAGCTTGCTCCGAGGTCCCGCCGTCTTCTGAGAGGGCTCGCCCCTTTCGCATCTGCGGGCGATGCTTTTGTCCACACTCTCTGCAGTTTGGAGATTCGGGCTCCGTTCACCAGAAGCCCGAGGTGTCGTGGACATGGATAAATCTGTCCCCTAGAGGCTCGACGTTCATCCACATCAACTGCGCCTCGGCCTTGTGGCGCCCCTTCCAAGAAAATCCAAGACGCACCTGGTGTGGATACAGTTCTTGCCCACAACTTCCCCCCCTCGGCGCGCCGCCGATAGACACTGCGCCACGAGGCCTCGCGCGGAGGGGAGCATGAAGAGAATCTGGCCTACGCTCAGAACACGTGGCATGTTGCACACGTGCGTTCGACATGATGGGCTTCAGTAGTCAATGTTTGACGTCTGAGGGGGGGGGCCTCGAGGACAGGGACCTGCACCAAAGACGTTCGACTGGCGAAGGCAGGGAGAGGCAGGCAGTTCAAACAAACCCACGGGATGCAAAGGAGCGCGCAAACCTCGCTCAGCCCGGGCTGGATGCACTCAAGATGGGAAACCGCACGGCACTTCTCTCCCGCTGAGTGGGCGGGGGGCCTAGCAGCAGACCGCAGGAGCCCAGCAGAGCGCCGTCGAGGCCGAAGCAGAGCGCCGACGCGCCCTCGAACATGGCACCAAAGTAAGGCACCGACCTGCTGGGCGAGAATGCGTGCACATAATTGGCGCCCTGGCCACCTTCCAGTGTGCACCATCCCTCCTTTCAACGTTCACTACTCGACCTCCCTGGCTTCGGCGCACGGCTCCGTAGCTAGACCCTAGACCCACCGAGGCAGATGTTGACTTCAGGCAGCATCGAGTGACCATCGTCACTGGCTCTCCTCAAATAAGCTCGCTCTAGGGCGCTATCCTCACTCAGCTACCGCGCATGTGAAGCATAAGTTCGATAAGGGAAACTAGAGGTGACCGAAGCGTAGCTGTGAATATTGACTTTCCGGGAGGCTATAGCTACCATTGCGCCGATGTATACACTGTTAGCGCTCCTAGCATCGATTGGCCCACGATCTGGCAACCACATGCCCCTGCCCTACAACAGGCCCGCCATGAAGAAGACACGCTGTCGGAAATTGCCAGCCCAGCGGGCCCGGGGCGTGATGGGCTCCTAGTGAAGCTGGTCGGGGCCGGAGCGGCGGAGGAGGAGGAGGAGGAGTAGGAGGAGGAGGAGGAGGAGGAGGAGGAGCAGGCGATCTGAAGCCCCCTGGGAACATTCCTTAAGAAACGCCCCCACCGTAATTCTTGCTGGTAGATAATTCGTCTTCGAGCGTTGCTCAGTGATGGCTCTAGGGATCCGAGTGGGTTCAACATTTCTTCTAAAATGGTTGTGCCAGGGTCTACCATCCGCAATGGGCGCGTCGACGCTGTATGCGCCCAGGCGGAAGCGAAAAATCTGGTCGATCGGCGAGTGTACGCTCTCCTCAGCACCACATACGGGCAGCAAGCAACCACAAGAAGGAGCGCTGAACAAGGAACGTAGGATCCTTTCTGGCTACGGCGAGCCTCGGCCACGACTAAGTTCCCCGACCTAGATCTAAGGAACGGCCCCCAAACCAGAGCCCCTCCTGAGTCCGATTTTTTTTTTCAGCGACTCGACTGTACTCGAAGATCGTGTGGGTGTGGTTAGGGTGGTACACGGGGCGATCGGCGGAGTGGTTCGCGGGGCGGGGCACGAATACGCTGTGGGGCGGGCCGTGGGGCGGGGTGCCGGGCAAGTCTCGGGCTGGCTCGCAGGTAGGTTGCCGGTCGAGTCGCGGGGCGGGGCAAGTGCGGGTCACGGGTGGGCCTCGGGGCGTGTCGCGGGCTGGTTCGCGGGCGGGTCTCGAGGCGTGTCTTGAGCCGCGGCGCCTCGGTCCCCTCTCTACCCGCCCCCTCCGCTCCCCCTTCGCCTCCGCCACCGGCAGAGATCGGCAGGGGTTTGGCCGGCCAGGCAAATGTGTCGCGGGCGTGTCGCGGATCGGGTGGCGGGGCGGCTGCAAACACACAGCTCAACAGAACTAACAATCGCACCTCGGGAGGCCCATGTCAGCCACACAGCCAGGTGCTGTCAGACCGAGCGCCCCCCCCTTCCACATCCAAATGATAGCTATGATGATTTGCCATTCTGAACCAAGGATCCGGGGGGAGAAGGCACACACCTCGAATCAATCGTCGCGTGGATCATCAAGGCAATCGAACGGGCTGGTACGTGTCTTGTGTACACATCCCGCGACCCAACGAGGGCGCCAAACGCCGTGGCTACAGCAGCTGCGCAGGCCACGTGGAAAGTGCCCAGCGAGTCAGCGACCCGCAGAATGCGGGTGGTCATCACGTGAGGCTTGGATCGTGCTTGCTATGGTTAGGTTTATCCCTTGACACCCGTCCTCTCTCTTCCCCCGGCATTGAGCTCACGTCAATTGGTGTCACCATCTCCTCGACTCCTCTGCTGTGCGTCTCCACATTGCTGTCTGTATCCAGTCCTTCCCTCAGCCTGGCCTTCCTCCCGCGCTCCTGCGACAGAACCAACACAATTGGTTCAAAGCCCCCTGCATGTTGGCCTGGCACAGGCAGATGAGCCTTGCCGTAGTACTGTACACTTGGCTATGCAGCCCACCCCATCGACGCAATCCAACCTCCCCGCGAATTCTTGGAGCACGTGACAGTGACCCGCCGAAAGCATTGTCAATAACAGGTCGGGTACCCTTCACCTTAGGAGGTGGCAACAAATCAGAGCACATCGAGAGAAACGCGTCGACAGCCGAAGGGGGTGCAATCCCATCCGAACGCAGGGAAATGCAACTCCAGTGACAGAACTGCTTACCGTCAAATGCAACGGTCAAGGTGCAAACACCGAATTTCACATCATGGCACATCATCAGTATCCCTGCCATAGCATCGCGAGACATTCGCACAACATTGGATAGCGCATCCGTGTCGCATTACAGCATTCGCAGAGCACAAGACATGATAACACATGGACTATCTAATGTTCAAAAACTCACGACACTGGGCATTGGGCGACATGGTATCGTAGGAGTACAAGAGCCCAATGAACCCAGAAGAACTTGGGAACCCCCGGGCGACCCCACAGGGAACTCGAGCGACCAGGGCTGGGGGGCGCAAAGGAAGGAACCCAGTGGCAGAGTCGAGAGGCGTCTGTGCTGTTGAATGGGACGCTGAGTCACTCCGCCCAAGACCCCACTTCCGATCGGATTCGCAGCGTGTAACGCCATCGCGAACTAAGTGAACCAACCTCGCCGCTTTTGGCGCGGCACCTCCAACATCGGGCAGCGAGTGGGCAGGTGATTAGACATACATGCAGAAGAGAGGGGCGGCGGCAGCAAAGCCACGGCGACGGGAAGGAACCTCGCATATCGATAGAAGGGGTGACTTGATGGTGGAGCCACCGCAGCTCCCCGAGAATCTCCTGACGTAGCCAACGACGCATCACAAAGACTCAGCCGCGCACTCGCGGCGGGCACGACAGGCACGAAATGCATACGGGGCGTTCAGCTGAGGGCAGCACCGGGGATCACGCCCTCGAGGTCGAGCAAGTTGACGATGTGGAGGAGATTCATCTCCGCTACCCCCCCCCCCCGCCTTTCGTCCGCGCCCCCCCGATCAACCGTCGCACTGCGCGCAGCTTGGCGGTCCGTGGGCTTCTCGGGGGCGCTTCGATCCCTGGACCTCTCTAGGGGTGTGTTTGGACCAGACCACGAACCGCGAAGGAGGAGGAGGAGGAGGAGGAGGAGGAGGAGGGGGAGGAGGAGGAGGAGGAGGGGGGGGGGCCAGGGACGTGTTGAAGTAAGAGGAGCTCGGGGGCGGCCAAGAGGGGGGCGTCCAAGAGGGGGGCCAGGGGCCCCTCTCTTGGACCTCTCTTGGCGGTCCGCGACGACCATCCCCCCGTCATGCTAAACACACCCAAAACTCCTGAGAGCCCAGACCCTCGAGCCTCGAATATCCCTCTCCCGTTCCAGACATCCGGCGATGTGTTTGTCTTCCATCCGATTGACCCATAGCCTGGACGGGAACCGGGGGGGAGGAGGAGATCCTGGCAGAGGAAGACGAGGGATGTGGAGAAGAAGGATGGCGAGACGGCGAAGAGGGAGGGCAGAGAAGGAGAAATAGCACTACGGACAGCATGAACAAGACGCGGCCTTGCGTCGCATGCCTGATTGCAAACGCATTCGCGTCTGTACGCGCACGCGAGCTACGAACAAATCCAACTGCCGAGCTGCCAACGATTCAGGTCGCAAGTGAAGCGTCCTGTGCAACGGAGGAGGGAGCCATATTGGGAAGATGTTTAGACGCGCTGGATTTGTTGGGGGGGGGGCTGTAAGGATCTTTCGACCCACGGGGGCATCCGGGAGGATGTCCTGGTGGGGCAAATTTACTCGAAGAGGAGCCGTCAGGATGCTCTGGGGTGGGTGTTCATGGAGATTCCTGGGGTTTCTGGGCCACTCCTTCGCAATTGGCGCTACTGCCGCCAAGTGGAACGCGTGAGCGCGGGGCACACGTAGCTTTCCCTTCTCTTCCCAACCATCTCCCTCTCACTCTCCCCCTCCTCTTCCTTCTCCTCTTCTTGGCATACTGGGAAAATGGTCTTAAAGAAACGGATCCTAGATCCTGGGGCTTCCCCCGGGACCAATTTTCAATTCTGAAACGCATTGCTAATGGTTCCAGAGCCCAGGAAGAGTACCGAACAATCAAGAAGGCAGAACAATCTCAGGGCCGCGTTCCCCGAAGGACCCGCTGTCTCCGTGGTGACCACTGGGGCCCGACACACGTCCGCTGCAGGGAGCTGCGTTCCCTCCGCGGGCCCCGGCGGTCCCGACCACTTCCCCGCGTCCGCCCCGGAGGTGTCCTTGCGTGCCCAGGGGCGCTGGGAGCTGCTCACGGATGCCAAAACGTTGGAGAACGCCAGGTTTGAACACATCATCCGCCAACGCCTCAAGGAGAAATCAACATCGGGGTGACTTGAGCATGGGCCGACCACCCTCGCATTCCTTCAGGCCTACCACGAAACCCTCTTGGAACGACAGAAGGTTCTAAAAACGAAGCAGTGCTCTTGGAACGCAGAGAGTACGTTATCAAATCAATACTGTCTTACCCAGACATGTTCGATGGACGTGTCGTGCAAACCATGGCAGGTTCTTATAACAGAATGTTGTGGGCCCTGTAGGCAAGTCAGGAGGCTTCGCCACCGCCTGGGAGGAGACGTCGACATAGGGATGGCATGACTCGCGGATCTCCGAGAGCCAGCGGGTTTGGAAACTTACTCGGGCGCCACGGCCGATCCAGAGCGCTGCGGAAAAGTCTGAGGGCGTTCCAGAGCGGAGCGGAGTGATCTACGTGGCTCGGTCGTGTCCAAGCGCCAGCAGCGCTTCGAGGCACTCGCCCTGAGCAGGCGCGGTCACTCCGAGGCTGCGCAGCATTCTCCTGGGCCCGCGGGAATCATCGAGGCCCGGGCCCCCGTCTGGATGAGGGGCAGCGCTCGGGGGGACAGGCTCGGGGAGGAAAGCATCGAGCTGGAATCAGCGATAAATCCTCCCTCCTCCTCCCTCCTCCTCCTCCTCCCTCCTCCTCCTCCCTCCTCCTCCCTCCTCCCTCCTCCTCCCTCCTCCTCCTCCTCCTCCTCCTCCTCCTCCTCCTCCTCCTCCTCCTCTTCCTCCTTCCTCCTTCCTCCTTCCTCGGTGATATGTGCTGATAGATCCACGGTGCGCGCTGACAGATCGGCTAGATGCCCTCGACAGCGAAACCGCACGCTGCTGGGCAGGTGACAGGTGGGCCATCGGGCCCCACATCGGCGACCAGTGGGCGAGTGGGCCCCCTGAGCCGCTCCCTCCCTGGCGTTGCCCGCGACTGGAGAGACCCCGCCCCTCCAGAAGGTGCGACAGGTCGCTGTGTAGCAGCGCGTGCGTCAGCAGGCGCCAGAGCTCGCCAGCCTTCAGCGGCGAGAGAGGTCCCCTCCCACTCAGACGGGGAACGGGCAGCCAATTCACGTGCCCCAAACCTCAGGAGGTTTGATCTGTTGAGTCGCGCCGTTTTCCTCAAGTACAGCCTCCTTCGGCCCCCTGGGCCATCCTGTCCCCAGGCGGGACCTCCAGGGTCCGCGGATTGGAAAACGTATCATCCGGTGTCACGGGTTCATGTCGCGATGGCGTCGGCGCTGGTTTCTGACACCGCGTGGATCGCTCAACCTTGAACCATCGAGACTTTCCGAACTCGCGAGTCTTCTGATGTCGGCCCCTTCCAGGCCACTGGCGGCTTTCAACCTGAAAATGTCACGCTATGGTCGCCGCTATGGCGAGACTACCGTATGGACGTCTGCCCGTACTGCCTGACTACAGTGGAGGCCAGTCCACAAGAAACCTTCCACAAGAAACCCAACCCTGAGACCCCAGGAAGTCCACTGTTTTTTTGGCGTGGGAGCGTCACGCGTTCCATCGCACAACCATCGAACGCCAAGAAATCCTGGGCACCCTGGAGGCAAGCAGGGTGCCTCCTGGCATGGCCCCCCCCTGTACCGCGCATTTGCTGAGCAGCTCCCTCCCTAGGCCTCCGACGTCGTGCTACTCTTCTCGTCCCTAAACAATGCATTCACTAACAAAAAGGAGCAAACGGCATAAACATAATTGTTTGGCGCTCCGCGCGGGTTTGATGGCTCTGCGCTCGCGATACAGGCCACTCTCAGAGGCGAACTCCACACCAATCGACAGGAAATGATCATTAGTTTAGTTTCGAGTATCGAGATGTCTGGCGTATGGCTGCTACGAGAGCTGCGATCAAAATAATATTCGCCCTCTAATCTTTGCAGAAGCAATGTCGGTTGTCTCTCTGGACCCCCCTGAGCGCGCCAGGGGCGGCGCCGGAGGCGCCGCCGGGGGGCCTAGCGCGGATCCAGGAAATCCGCGCGGAGCGCCCAAATGTTTAACTATGTTGATGCAGTTTCTTCTTGGAACTAAGGAATGAATACCCATCGGTCGGAAGACGTAGGTAGAAACATGCAGTAGGAAGGTGTTGAGAGTATCATGGGTGTCCGCCCGCCCCCAAAAAAGGACGGAGAAAGTGAAGCCGCTCAAACACTGAAGTAGGCAAGCGCTTAAAACGTAGACTGGAATCTGGGTTTCCAGAAGCACCTACTTTCAACGACGGATAAGCATGGGCATCTGGTTTGAGCTGCCAATTTTTTCGCCCAGTGGCAGTTGAGCAGGGACTGACCGTCCCGGCAGTACTATAGGCCTACCACGACATGTTCTTAGAACCCAGAAATGTTCCGAGACCCAACACGGTGCCCTTAGAACACGCGCCCGAGGTGCTGAAACGAGG